TAGTTGGCTCAGACTGAACTTTAGCACCAACTAGATGGTGTCTTGTTTCTCGATGGAATTACTTTGAGCTGCAAATGGATTTTGGAAGATGAGAGTAGACCAGTGAAAGGCAGGGATGCTGGACCCGTTTTCCAGCAACAGCACAATTAGGGCTATTGGTTCTATATCTTCCGGGTTGTTTGGGAGGAATTCCCGGCCTCCTTTCGTTTGTAATAAAAGCTAATGATTCTTCCAGGAAAAAAAAACAAAAAAACAAAAAAAAAAACGATGGGACAAAAATAAACCCAGACCCAGGGTTGCGTACCTGCCGATTGCCAACCCCGACCGACGACCGTATTGCAGCCGACCAGTAGGCCCGACTGGTCAGCGGTCTGCTGACCAGTCAGAAAACAACCATCCAGTGATTTTTTTTCAAATCTGAGTTGGAGGCTGTACTGCGCTTGCTGAGTAGAGCCCAAATCCGCTGAGAAACTTTTGGGGATGGGGGAGGTGGTGGAGGGGGTTGGAGGGGGGGTATAGGGGGATATAGGGGGGTATAGGGGGGGTATAGGGGGGTATAGGGGTCGTATAGGGGGTATTGGGGAGGGGTAGTGAGGGTGTTGGACTATGGGGGTGTTGGTGGGGTTATGAGAGGTTCTGGACCTAAAAAAAAATAAAAAAATAAATAAAATTGTGGGGTGCCAACGATCCCCGACCAGTAGGTGCTGACCAGGGGACCGGTCGGCGGGTCGGCAGCCAACCAGTCAAGGGCCGTCGACCGTCGGGGTATGCAACACTGCGCAGACCCTAAAAAATAGCCGTGGCCCTCCTGGTTGCCCAACGCGGCCTGGGAGCCAAAGTGTGAGTTGGGCCTCCTAGGGCCCGTGCAGTAGGGCCCAGCATGCCACACCCACCCCTCCTTCAGAAGCCGAGCTATGGCGAGGGCGAAGCTGTGGGCTCGAAGGAGGAACTTGAATCCGGTTGCAATGGGTAGGTTGAGCTGAGGATGTCCCTTGCAAATTGCTGCTTCTTTTATACTTGCCGAAGGCATCCGGCGCTCTAGCTTGAAGTTCCGCACAAGTTAGCCAACGATCTTCCTTATGGTTGAAGTGGGAAAGTGTACCAAGTACTACGTCGGCTTGTTTCGGTAGTACTGGTGCATGATAATGTGACCAATTTCCTAAAAACCATCCATAGATGAAGGGTCTTGAGAACGTCAACCAAGGAAGTCAACGCGCTTCGCTGAAACGAAAGGAGCAAGCTTGGAGCCGTGGAAGACTGGGTGAACAGGCAGGTGGGCAGAGATCTTGATGATGAACGAAGGTTCCGTCCGACTCATCACCTACAGCTGAAATGATACGCCAAGGTCCCATCCATTTTGGAACGAGCCTGAGCGAGATGTCTTGCTCCAGGCTGAATTCTGCGACCGACACCCAAACCAAGTCACCCTTACAGAATGGGCAAGGTAGATGCTGCCAGTTAGCCTGTCAGCATACGGTGCTGCGTCTTCTGCATCTTGTTATGTGCCTTAACGAGCAAATCTTGCATCTTGCGAATGATTCAGAATGAAGGCACTGTGGTCATTGCTCTTGGCCGCGTGGGGAATGATGGAGTCCAAAGGGAAACCAACCGGCGTGCCATGCTCGAACTTGAAAGGGGAGATACCAGCACCCGGGTGAATGGAAGAGTTGTATGCCAGTTCGATGTTCGAAAGTCGCTCGACCCAATCCTTTTGGTCCGGACGGATGAGTGTGCAAAGAAGAACCTGCGCGGTTTGGTACGCTCTCTCAGTTTGACAACTGGTCTGCGGGTGCCATGCAAAACTCGGCTTGAGGGATGTCCACATCCGACTCATGAGTCCAGTCCAAAAGTCAGACATAAATTGAGTGTCGTGGCTGCGCACAAGCTCCTTAGGAAAGCCCTTGGTACGTATCCACCAAGTGAAAAAATAGCTCGACCAACTCTTGTGCTTTAGCGTGATACCTGCAAGGAAGAAACATTGAAAAGTTAGTGAGTCAATCCACCACCGTAATAATACCGTTGAAGCTGGACTTGTGTTTTGAAAAAGGTATGGCAATGTCCATGGCAATTGAAGCACGTCGTTGAGATGGAACCGGTAAAGGAATTCAACTCTCCAAAATGACAATGATTGCGGGGTTTGCAACGTCGGCAAACCTCGCAAGACTTCCAATATCGAGTGGTGTCAGAGATGAGGTCGGGCAAATAAAAGCGTTGGCGAAGTCGACCTGTCGTGTGGTTGATATTGAAGTGCCCCATAGCGGGAGAGTTGTGAGCGGGAGAGTTGTGAAACTCACCAAGTGGTTGTGTACATAGGTCCCAGTCGTTTGGCACGCAAAGAACATGCTTTCAGTGAAGTAGGAACCCATCTTGGAAACGATAGTGCGATGTCGTGAAAGAGAGGGTCGACCATGTAGCCACAGAGGAAGTGGTGTTGCAGCTCATCGTCGATCACGAAGTTGTGATAAACTGCAGTGCAAAGGCCCTGAAGCTGCGAAAAAGCATCCGCAAAGCGGTTGACTTGCCTTGAATGTGATTGATGGCAAGGTCAAATTGGTCAATGTAGGCCATCCGTTTGATGATGGTGCTCTTGATCGTGTCTTGGGACTTGTAGAAGACCAAAAGGTTGTTATTCGTGACCCACTTGAACTGTTGGCGGCTGAGAAGAAAATAGCGCCACCGTTTGAGTACATGGACGAAGTTTAAAAGCTCCTCCTAAAGTACTCGACAAGGTGCCAATCCCCACCGTCGTGTTGCTCCAGAACAACACCAATGTCGTAGCCGCACGCACTGGTTGTGACACGTGTAGGCAAAGTGGTGTCGTAAATGCTTAAGACTAGTGCGGAAAGCAAAGCGGCCTTGAGTGCCATGAAAGTTGCCCGTGCCTCATCATCGACACAGAACGGCCAGTCCATGCAGTGAAGCTTGGTCAAATAGGGCACGGTCTTCGAGTATCCTTCGATGAAGCATTGGTAGTAGCCGATGAGTTCAAGAAATGATCAGACATTTGTAACGTTAGCCGGCTCCGGCCACTCTTGGACGGCTTGGATCTTGTGCGAAAACATACTGATCCCTTATGGTGTGACAAAGCGGCCCAAGTACTCCAACTCTTGACGTATGAACTCGGACTTGTCGCGGTTGGCTTTGTACTTAGGACGACGAAGAGTTTCCAAGGCGCAGTGTAGATGCTCAAGGTGCTCGTCCAAGGTTCGGCTGTAGACCAAAATGTCCTGGAGATAGACAAGGAAAAACCTGTCCAACATCGTACATAACTCATTTGTCATAGCGCTTGGAAAGTTGTCGGGGCATTGGTGAAGCCAAAAGGCATGACCACCCACTCAAAACACCCGTACCGCGTCTTGAACGCGGATTTGTAACGGTCTTGTGGGTGAATCTGAATGTGATGATAGCCCGATTTCAAGTCCAACCTGGACAAGAACTTTGCATCACCCAAGCGCTCAAGAAGATCGTCCCTGCGTGGAAGAGACCCCACGTTCTTGATCGTTTGCACGTTGAGCTTGCAATAATTAATGCACAAGTGTAAGTCCTTGTTTTTCTTTCGAATGAAGATAATCGGTACATCATATGGTGAGCTGCTAAGGGTGATCCAACTCTTAGCAAGCAGATCATCGAGTTGCATATGGAGAACTGTAAGCTCCTCATCACTCATACGGTAAATACCATGGTTGCCAACCGGACGTCCGGATCGGGATCCAGACGGTCCGGTCTGGATGTCCGGATCCTGTGTCCGGTTTGAGGGGTTCGGTTGGGCCCCATTTCGAGAAAAAATGAATTTTTTTTTTGGGGTCCCCAGACGATTTTCCAGTGCCTGGTGGACCCCCAAAAATTTGTTGCCGCAGTTTTTGGTGTACCGTTGGGCCAACCGGACCGGCCCTGAAGGGCCTGTACTTGCAATCTTGGGTGAGCTTCAGCGGGCCAAGGAGAATCGGTTGTGTGTGTGTGTGTGTGTGTGTGTGTGTGTGTGTGTGTGTGT